CCGCTCGGGAGCGGAGCTGCAGCCTCTGCAGATGGATTTCCCACTCTGACAGGCGCCATTTTACCGCCCAAAGGGCTCCCTCCTCCTTTCTTTCCCCCTCTTCCCCTCTGACACTATTTCCGGTGGTGACGTGTATTCGCTTCACGCGGACTGCTGTTCCCCCTACTGGGTCTATGGGGGGTGGGGATAAGAAAAGTGGAGCGTGCTCCGAACAAGGCCCCAGCTTCGCGCATGCGCGGAAGGTGATGATGGGGCGGAGCCCAGGGCGGGAAAAGCCCCGCCTCAAACGGAGTGGGCGGGGCGGGTTGATGTCACATGACCCCGAGGCTCGGGCCGTGGGACGGACTCCCGCGGCCACCTCCCCCTCCCACAGACAACTGCCCCAACGGTTCTTCTCGCCCTAGTCACAAAAATGTAGAGACAGGCGTCGTCCCTACGTCTGTGCACCACGGCTCGGAAGGAGCCAATCCGCATGAGTCGCCTTAGGATGGTGAACCTAATCGCCTCTCCAGACTGTCAGGTCTTAGAGGTGGGAGGGATCGTGGGTGCCCCGCCTCTTTCATTTGGAGGGGGTGGGGCAGTGGGCCATGACGCCATCAGAGGGCGTCGGAAGAGGGGTGGAAAGCGTGTTGGAGATGTTGGAGTCGCTTTTGGCTCTTGGCGGCATGGTGCTGCTACGGGGTGAGGGTCACAGACACAGGGGCTTTTGAGCGGGACTCAAGGGGCGGAAGTGGAGAAGAAGGGCCGTGGGTTACAAGCCAGGGGTGGAGGTCACGACCGGTCGGTGAATGTGAAAACCTCAGTGTTCTCAAGCTGTTTATCCGTCTCTCACTCTCCCCAGACTCCGTGGAGTGGGAGGGGCGCAGTCTCTTGAAGGCGCTTATCAAGAAATCAGCACTGTAGTGAGTATCCCCAGCGTCTCCCAGTTCTCCCAGAGAGGGAGCCTGGGCCCCACTTTTTGACACTCCCCTTGATCTCTGCCTCAGTGGAGAGCAAGTCCACGTCCTGGGCTGTGAAGTGAGCGAAGAAGAGTTTCGTGAAGGTTTTGACTCCAGTATCAACAGTCGGTGAGTACAAATTGGAAGAGATTTAATTGAATTTGGGATCTCTCTTGCTGAGGAACTTCCCTTAACAGCGACAGGCGCAGAACCTGGTACGTAGTACCAGCTACTTAAATACTCACTGAATGAATGGATATGGGTCTTTCAGGAGGTGAGAATTAGTAAGAAGAATGATGAAGAGTGGTATCTAGAGACTCTGAAGCAAGGGCCATAGAAGATGAGAGGAAAAGAGTAATAAAATACCGACAGTACGGTTTGGCATTAAAGGCTGAACTGAAGGATAAAAATAAACATGTTCTGCTTTTTGAGTTATTCAGAATCTGGTGATCCAGACATGAATTCCAAACTTGCATGAACACTAACTGCAGGCTACACAGAGACTTGTCCTACAGGCAGAGGGATCAGTTTATGCAAAATTGGGGAGGTATGGAAGGCATACTTGCTCATGGGAGATGGAAGAGCTTCTTGAGGTCAGACAGAAAGAGGCACCTGGTAGTGACAGGTCTTACAGAGCATGAAGAGTAGTTTAGAGATACTCTCCTAAAGGCGGTGGGGAGTCATTTGAAAACTTGGTAGGAAAGTAATAACATCATACCTGTTAGAAAGACTTGTCCGGTGACCACATCGTGGAGAATGGGTTGGGAGGCAGTAGCCTGGACATAGACAGACCAGATAGGAAGGCTCTTGCAGTAATCCAGGTTCACTCGGGGGTGTGTGTACTAGTTGTGAACCAGGAGCTGTGCTAGGCACTGGAGACAGAGCAGTGAATGAAGCAGACATGATTCCTGTTCTGATGAATCTGGTAGGTGACAGAGGCCTTGCTTAAGGCAGCGGCAGTAGAAAGGAAAGTTTACAACAAATGTAAAAGGACTTTAGCAGGTGGAATTTCCAGGATTTTTAGACTAATGTGGGGTAGAGGAAATCACCCAGATCAGGAAGTTCCTGAACCCACCTATGTTGGCTGGTTAAGAACGATTACCTCCCAGCCTGGGTAGGTAAGAGGATAATGATAGTTTACATGTCTGTTGAGCCATAATTTTGTATCAGCTACTTTGAGAGAGGTGTTGCTGTATGTTAAGATGGCATTCACAAGACAAGCAGAAGCTAGAAAGTAGGTGTCTGGGAACAAGTTTGCCACTGTAAAGCTTTCCCAGGATTTCTGGTCCTTGCCAGTGTCTTCCTGAATTGCCATTTTATCTGTAATTAGTACCGCAGGACTTCATTCTGGACCTTCTCTAAGCTGTTCTACAGGCAGGAACCATGTATCAGGCCCTTTCTCTTAATCCATCCAGAGAATGACATGCTTGAGGCACCACTTGGGAGATATTTGACAATGATGATAGTTAACGTTTATCAAGCACGTGGTATGTGTCAAGCACTATGCTCAAAATCAAGAGGTTGGTATTCTTATTTTACAAATGAAGAAACCAAGTCTCAAAGAGATGAAAGCAGTGTATCAGTTAGGTGACCTTGAGTAAGTAGCAAAACCAAGCTTGGCACTTGGGGCTGTTTGACACCAAAGTCTGTGCTCTTAATCACTATATTCTACCTTTCAGTAAAAACCTCAGGGGGGGTGTGGCTAAGTAAACCTAATTACTGCCCACCCACCCCCACCCCTGAAAAATAAATAAATAGAAACTTCTCACTAATATATAGGATATTGGTGAAAATCAAGAAAACAGCCACAAAGATCGAAAGATCAGAAGCTGAAGTTCAAGACTGGGGGCTGTGGAGGGCAATCTAATGACGCTTCTTATTTTGCTTCTGCAGGCTGGTTTACCATGACCTCTTTAGAGACCCTCTTAACTGGTCGAAGACTGGGGAAGCCCTTCCTGGGGGCCCCCTGGAAGCCTTGAGAGCCCTGTGCGGGAGGACAGATCCTGGCCCTATCACCGTTGCTCTTGATTCCCTCAGCTGGCTGCTGCTTCACCTTCCCTGCACCACACTCTGCCAGGCTCTGCATGCTCTGAGCCGGCAGGACCCCTGCCCTGGTGAGGCTCCTCCTTTGTTACTTCCCTTCATACATTTTCCCGGCCAAGGAATGTGCCCCTTTCTCCCTAAGACAAAACTTATCAGGGATCTCCATTCAGGCCCTCTTCCATCTCTTTAACCTTTATTCTAATTCTTGATTTCTCCATAATACTATCTACCAGTCACTCTTTTCTTCTTTTCCAAGTTCTTTTTTACTCATTCATTTCATTCATTCAGTCAACAAACATTAAATACCTATAGTGTGTCAATTTGAGATAATGAGAAAAGGCAGGCTAACTGTAGTCAGGTCCTTGCCTTCCAGGAGCTCAAAGTCCTATGAAGGGTACAGATAAGTAAACAAGTATTTAAAAGATAGTCTGATAAGGACCATGGTGATAAAGGAATATGCACTGAGTACCTTAAGGAAGGAATGTCTTGAAGAGCAAGGGGTCAGCCAGGCCAATTTGTCCAGCCGGGGGCACGGGGACTAGCCCTAAAGTACGGTGGGTACTGGAATGGGCTCTACAGTCTGACACCCAGCTTTGTGTAAAAGTGCTTGGCCTTTCAGTGCTTCAGTTTTCTCTGTAGAAGTCGGGAGAGATGGGGAGTTTATAGTGTTAGAATGAACCACTTGGAATTGCTGTTTTTGTGGGTCAGATATGATCAAATGTCAGCAATTTCATAGGGTTCAACTAAAAATGCAAGTATTTAGTGCAGAGCCTGACACTGTAAATGTGACTAAAAAGGGAGGGAAGAAGAAAGGGAATCCGAGGCACTGACTGGTATCTTGGCAGGGTCCAAACACTGCAGGTGGTACAGTGTGTAAAAGATGAGGGTGGAAAGTAGAGATGCTGAAAGTGTGAGTTTCACCCTGGAGGCTTTGAGTTGCTCCTGAGGAATGAGGTCAGAGCAGTGCCTTGATTTGACACACGTTGGAATAAGAAAGTGTATCAAAGGTAAAGGCTGAAAGAGGCTCAGAGCAGGGCAGTGAAACTGGCCCCAGTCAGTCAGGATCATGGCAGAGCTCTGATTGAATGTAGGCCTCTCCTTCCTTTTTCCCTCTTCACTATTTTATTCCAGGCCTCCACCCTGAGTATGCCATGCTGCCCTCTATGCACTACATTTCTTGTCCCTCCCCAGGAAAGCAGGTGCGTGTGCTGGGCCTGCTTCATGAAGAGCTTCATGGCCCAGGCCCTGTGAGAACGTTGAGCAGCCTTGCTCAGGCCGAGGTGACCCTGAGCGGGGCGATGGGCCAGGCCTCAGCCCACATCCTCTATCGAAGGCCCCGACAGCACCCGACCCACCAGGTCAGGAGCAGCAGGGGAGGACTGGAGGCTGGGGTCAGAGAAAGAGCGGTAAAATAGCTGATGTGATTGAGCACTTCCCTGGGCTTTCTTTCCTGCTTTAATGTCCACAGCTGCCCTGAGAGGTCGATTATTTTCTTATCCCTATTTTGTAGCCTGGGAAACTTGGATTCTGTGAGCTTAACCAATGAAAGACATTGCCTTCCAGGAAACGGAAGAGAAGAAAAGGCTGGGAGTGGTTCCTGGGGTGGGCGTGGGGGATGAGGAACAAGTCACTGTGGAGCGGTTTGGAGGTGTGAAAAGCAAGAGCCAGAAACAGCTGGTTACATAGGTGGTGGGGAGCTGGGGTGGCAAGTCCTGGTTCTTTCTGGTTTGCTTCGGTAAGGTGGAAAAAACTTTAATACTTTTCTTTCTTCTCCCCAGACTCAGTGGTTCTCCATCCTTCCTGACTTCAGCCTGGATCTCCAAGGGGGTCCCCTGCTAGAGCCCCAGCCCCAACCAGATCCTCACACACCCCCGGTATCTAAGAGAGCCAAGCCAGAACAAGGGAATGGAGTTTGGGGTCTGGAAAAAGGAGAAAAGAGGATAAAAACTGCAGAGATGGGGTGGGAGGGCAGTCAAGGATTCCAGCTACATGGCAGAGTGGTAGCAAACTTTGTTTCTACAGGTGGACCCCACAAATCATTTGACTTTCAATCTTCGCCTGTCCAAGAAAGAGAGAGAAGCCAAAGATAGCCTGGCCCTGCCCTTCCAGTTCAGCTCGGAAAAGTAAGGTTGGGACCTTGGTGCCTGGGTCCCGAGTTGAGGCCAACAACTGGCCTGAGAGGTGGGGCCATAGCAGGTTGTTGATTAACCTCTCAGACTTTTATAGAGACTGAAGTCCACCTCCAGAGACAAGTCTGGGGAGTGGTTCTCTACCCACCCAAACCCCAGCAATGGCAAAGGGCCTTTATGTTTCCTTTCTCTCCATTAGAGCCTTGGGTCCCAGCTCCACAGTTGTCCCCAGAGTAATCAGGGCCTGGGCTGAACCAGAACAGACCCTGGGGCAGTGGCCCTATGTCCAGGCAGTGGTGCCAGGAGCACAGGAAGCCGGATGGGTATGGCAGGGGCGGGTTAATAAGGGCTTAGTAGATACCTGTTCTGTGCCCAGTGTGTGGGCGGGTGAAGCAAGACTACTGCACAATCCTTGCCCTCAAGCTGCTAAGAACTTAGGGTGTTATTAGGAGAGCCATGTAAGAGTATCTGTTTCTGTACCAAGTGTTGCTTCAGTGCTAACTGAACAAGGTCAGACAAAGGCACGGAGACCAAGAAAACATGGAGGCTAAAGAGGGAGTCAAAGTCATGAGGAAAGGGGACATGAACTGTTACCCACCCTTACCGGCACCACCAATTCTCCCCTTCTCTCTCCTCAGACAGCAGGCTCTACTGCGCCCTGGGCCAGGCCAGGCTACCAGCCACATCTTCTATGAGCCAGACACTTATGATGACTTGGACCAAGAAGACCCAGATGATGACCTAGATGTTTGACTGGCCAGGACATTTGACCAGACTGTAATTGGAAAGGGAAGAGGGAAACCTTGGGCCCATAACCATCCTTCCATTGTTTGCATTGGCCTTACCCTGTCTGTCCCCCATCTGTGTTCCCTATGTCTATGGAGGCCCTGCCCTGTGACCCATGAGCCTGGGAACAGCTTCCAATGAGGACAGAAAGTGGGATGGGGGCATAAGGGAAGGTGAGGGACTAGGAACACCACCACCCCTAAGCCTAATAAAAATCTTTATTTTTTTAATTAAAAACAAAAACTGTTCGGTAGCTAAGCAAGAGCTTAGAGCCAGAGTCTTTCAGGGTCAAAGGTCAAAATGCTGGGGTCTGAGTGACTGAAATGGTGGGGCTGGGACAGCCTTGCACACCATTGGTGCTCACTAAGTGTTTTTTTAACTGAACTAGTTGCACTTTAGGTTCTAGGCTCCCTGCAAGGATCTGGGTTGGGAGAAAGCAGATGCCCTGAAGGGGGAAAAAAAAGCCTACTTTCCAAAACATACTTTTATTACTGTACAAAAAGCACATCCTCCCCATTTTGTCTCCCCCACCCAACCCCCCAGGGAACTGTACATGGTGTGCTGGGCTGGAGTGACCGCAGGCTTCTGCTCCGCGCCCTGCCCATGGGCTGAGCTCTCTGCCCCAGTTCCTTCTAGATGTCTGGGCACGCCTATAGGCTGCCAGGCTGGGGCAAGGCGTCCAGCTCACACGTACTCCTTGGCCGAGTTGGGCTTAGGGTAGGAGCGAGGTGCACGATACCCAGTTTTGCTCTCACTCCCAGGACAGGAGCAAGAGAGCAGTGCACCTCCCAGAAGGGTCAGAGAGGATCCTGCCCAGCCAATGAAGATGGCAGGACCAAACTCGTACCTGTGAAGAGAGGGAATTGCGGTCAGAAACCCTGGCCTGCCTCTCCTGATCTCAGGACCCCAGACCTGTCCCCTTAGGCAGGACTCCTATACTTACTTAACATTCGTGGGGACCGTGGGGTCATAAAAGTCTGTGACTATCTGGTGGCCATACCAGGAGCAAGCTATCAAGGCACAAAGACCTGGAGAGAGAAGGGGATTCAGATCTTGTGCCCCCCCCCCGGCCAAACCAGCACCGTGCCCACCCTCACCCCTCCAAGATGGGCAAGAAGAGACTCCTCGGGCCCACTTTGGACCTGTTGCTCACCTGCCAAGATGAAAATGATGCCTCCAGTCATAGCTATACGGGCCTTCTTCACTTTGTCATCTCCCCCACAGTTTGTACATTTCATGCCCATGGTGGCCACGAACATGGCCAGGAAGCCAAGCACCAGGGAGACCACCATTAGGGCTCGGGTGGCCTGCAAGGCCGCTGCGGGTAAAGGGAAAGGATGCCGTCGTTGCTGGAAAAGCGAGCGGCCCTCAGGCAGCTCCAGCCTCTGAATCGCCGGCCGCGCCCACACGCCACGGCCTGAGGCCCCTTCGGCGTCCAAGCTGCAGGCCGGAGCGGGTGGATCCCGCCCCCTCCGAACTCCGCGGCCTTCCCGCTCTGCCCCGCCCCCTCGGCTCTAGGATCCGCCCGGGGCGCCAGGGTTTCGATGAAACTGCCTCGGGAAGGGGGAAGGGTGAAAAGGGACAGCGAAGAGTAGCCGAGGCGGTGGCAGAAACCCCAGCACCGGCTGCAGAGCCCGGCCTTCCTGCCAGCTCTGACCCCACTATCGAGGCCACGGTTTGTGGCTTCAGCTAATCGGCCGATTAGATTAGAAGCCGCAGGCGGCAGTCCAGATCTTACGGGGAGCACGGCTCCTCGGCCCTCGGTCCGACCCCACGGCCTGTGCCGCCTTTTGTCCGCGAAAAGGGCGGGAGATGGAGGCCGTAGCCTCCTCGCGGTAGGGGGAGAGGGGAAGGCCCCGCCCCAGGACTCAGCTTCCCGGGAAGGTACAGGGTCGCCTGCCGCCAAGTCCGGGGATGAAGAGGGGCACAGCCAGCCCGCGGCGCGCGCACGTGCAGACCCAGGGCACCAGCCCCGCGGCCCAGCCGCACCGTCCGGGCGCGACGCTTACGCTTCCTCCTCTCCACCCCCACCACCCTGACTCCCCCGCAACCCAGGGCGTCAGGCCATGGGACCTCGGGCCTGGCCCCGCACCCACCCGCGACCACGGCCCTGGGCGCGTCCGGCCCGTCGGTCCCGCGGCCTTACCCGACAGGGCGAGCACCGAGTCGTACATTTTGCAGCTCATCATGCCGGTGCTCTGGGTGACGCAGTCCATCCACAGCCCCTTGTACATGGCCTGAGCCGTGATGATATTGTCGCCCGCGTACGAGCTCATCTGCCACTGCGGGATGGCGGTGCACGCCACCAGGCCCACCCAGCCCAGAAGAGCCATGGAAAAGCCCAGCAGCTGCAGGCCCGAATTAGCCATTTCCGCCCTCAAAAGAGACGGGGGGCTCCGGGCGTGGGTGTTTTAAGTCACCCAAAGAGCTAAAAAAGTTTTCGGTCGAGTGCCTGCAAATCTTGTCACCAAAGTAAACACAAATCCACCCCTCCGGCGGGGCAAGGGTCTCACAGCCGAGGGCTCAGGACTGGTGGTCAACAAAAGCGATCCGCGAAGGCCAGGCGGCTCCCTCCGGCGCGCTCCGCGACCCTTCCCAAACAAAAGGCGAAGGGGCCGTACGGGTGCGGCCCCGGGTGCTTGAAGTCCCCAAAGTACCCTGAGCTGTCGGCCCGAGGCTGCAGTGCGAGGGTGAGGTCGTTCAGCGGTGAGCGGGCAGGTGCGGGCGGACAGGTGCGGCGCACCTGAGTATATGTAGGGCGGTGGGGGCGCGCCCCCGCAGGCACCGGGAGCGCGAGTAGGGAGGGGCCGGAGGGGCGGCCAAGGGTGACCTGACGTCACCGAAGGGACACTCACCTGAGCCGGAAGTCCTGGTCCCTACCCCTCCAGGCCCAGGTGAAGAGGAAGAAACCTGAGCACCAGGGTCACGCCCCTTCACTTGCCAGGCTTTTACCGCAGGTGGGGAGGAGGCGGAGTCTTCTCGGAAGTCCCAAGCTCAGTGAAAGCCCCTCTGGACTCGAAGTCCCTCGGGCACCAAAATGTCCCTTTCCCTCTCCCCCAACAAGTGCGCCAGGAACTCTGCGGAGCAGG